CCATCTTTGTGCCTGTCTTTAAGCGCATCAAACAGGTGTCACCGATTCTCATTCATTCGCTTGAAATTGTGAAGTTGCGTCTAGCGTCTCACAGCACATCACTCTGATGTTTTTGTCTCAAAATAAGAGCAAGAAACTGAGCATATAAGTAGTATGTTTGGAACCTACATTAGTTTCAAAAATTTTCTGGAATCTGGGCTTCTCCGGGCCCGATTCTCCGGCCTCCATGGTGAAAACAACCACTTCTCTGGTGGGATTCTTGCCATATTTGTGTGGAATTCCCACAATCCAGGGCTCGTTTGGCTATAAAGTCAAAATACAACTTCTAACAATGCTACTGAGGTTATTTAAATTGCCTGTGATACAGCTTGTTAGAGAGGTTTAGCTTCTACCGCTGAAAATGAAGGATAGCGCTCACTGGCTTTCACAGTCATGAAAGAAGACTTGTTTTGTGCTTCCCCACTGCCTCTACTTCTGACAGTGATACTTTAAGTAGTAGTGCCTCCTGTGACCATTCAGTAATACATCAAACATGTCTTGTGTCGAGATCGCACAGATGGCATGGACTTTTTCAGCACTAATAATTATGCTGTGATGCGTTTGTACGTCGACTAGTTGGTCATTTGGGAATGGTTTCATCATACTGGACACTCATTTCATGTTGAAATTATTTAGATCCAAATTACTCATTGCAATAGAAAAGTATCTGTCGGAATTAGGTATATGGGTCCACAAACTCACCAAAATGCAGATAAGTTTGGGATGTCTCGGACGGATGCAAACGAAGTTGCCAATAACCTCGGCATTACCGGGCAGATCAGGCCACTGAGCTAATGTGCTGGCATAGCTGCAAATCAGTCTGTCTTGGCTTACTATGCAATCTGGCGGAGCACGAACGTAGCAAATCACCCTTTGTTCGGCTCCCTCTCCGGCCGTGTAGCTAGACAAGCAGATTTTTGAGACAGCTTTCGTTGAATTTTGAATTAACCAATCACGAAGAGATTATGAAACGGCAACTTAGTTTTCTGGGTTTTGATTGGCCCGAATAGGCTCAAATGATGTCAATGGAGCATCACTTGGCGAAATGTGAAGTAGGGTATTAAATCCACTCACAAGTCAACAATTTGGCAGAGAAAATGTCATACACCTCCCTCTTACACATATTTTGTCCACTCTTTAAGTGGCGGTCGCTCTGCGGATGCGATCTCCTCCGGATCCAATTGTCCCTCCACATACATCTCCGCTTCCAGTCTTGCCCGCTCTGCAGCATCCGCTTCTCGCCGCGCCTCTTCTGCCTCCTCTTCTGCTGCCGCCGCTGCCGCTTCTGCTGTGCTAGTTGTCCCTCCCTTTCGAGCCGTGCCCTCTGCTTCATCTTCTCGGCCTGGTCGTCTACCCGCCTCCGCCTCGTCCAGCGGGAGAGGCGTGACCTTGTGTGCGTTTACCAACTCGTTGTTGCCTGCCCAGACGGCTGTGCAGGCGTTTAAACGCCAAACTGTCAGAGGGCTGGCTATGTAACTGATTTGGTGTGTGAAATCGAAGTTAATCTGCACAGATTCAGCCATGCGGTCTTTGAGACTGACTAGTAGAGCCTCGCGGTCTGAAGGAAGGTGCATTCACTATTACACAACGATTGACAAGTAAGTGATGCATTGAAGCTTAACAACCCGTAATTTATACAGCGCTACTATGTCCCTTCAAAAGATAAAATCAAGAATAAAACTCAGCATAGGCTCTTCGTTTTGACTAATTCACTGATCAAGCTTGTATGGTTTCCGACAAATCTAATAGCCGAAATACAATGAAATTCGTTAAGGCATGCCAAACTGTAAAAAAATGTTAGTCTAGTGCTATAATGCCTTTTGTTGAGAAACGGATGGATACGATTTAAGTTTATGTCCGCTTTACGCAGCGCCGTGTCTCCAATAACTTTTCTTCTACGACATTCGGTGAAGGTTCTGTAGGAAGTCCTGAACAAATGTTTTAATTTATTCCATCACATTCCACTTCCAAGCTCTCTGCAGTTTATTCACCTGTTTTAAGCACACGGCTCACTTCCTACGTATCAGCAGGCCCTACTAGTAACATTTAAGTAGCATCTACCCCATCTAGACATATGGAGTTACTATCGAAAAAAACATTTACCTTCGGGAGAAATTCCAGCGCTATCCCATTCCTCGTCAGTGGCAGCAA